CCGCACATCTAGTAAACACTCGAGCATTCATGAACCTTCGAGAATATCATGACCTGTTACTAGCGTCACGTGACTTCCGCTGTCGTAACAATACCTTCTCCAGTGGACCTCATGACTTAGGCCAACCATATAAAATATGTCATAAAACTCATATTGGAGATAGAGTCAAATATGTTAGTTAGCCAGAACACACACACACTCATACTTGCAAGGCATGTTGGGGCTTTCAAATAGATATTAGCTACGAAAAAGCAAGGAGTATTAGAAACAAGTACTAGTTTATTTTCTCAGTAAAAGTTTTCTTCAGTCATGTTTACTTGTAGACCTAATTTCACAAATAAACATCTCAATATAACTCCGCAGCTAAATCTAGCCCTATCTTTAAATATAATGTTTTAATACAAACTGCGAAATGATAGATAAAGAAACACTCAATTCACTGAGAAACTGAAAAGCAGAAAAGATACAACAACTCTTGCCAAATAACTTTTATGATACTGAACTAATTAACTACAGGCAGCACTTGAGTCATTTGTTTGGGTAGGCTATGTTGTGGACGTTTGGGGGTTGCACATTTAAGAGTAATACATTCTAGAAATTTCAGACGTTTCATTTTCTCGCCATATTTTTCTGCTCCAATAAGAAACAGCATTAGTATCAAAATGTCCTAGTTTATTTTTACCTCAGTATGAGTTTGATACCTATGGTTTGCAGTTGTACACGACTCCCTTAAATTTTACTTAGGGAATCACAAAGATAGATCACATGGTACGGTATTCCCTCCCTCTATTCCACGTTTTCCTAACCTACTTTGTCACTGGGCAACTACAGGAATTGAGATTTGAAGACCTGTATAACTGCAAAAAGAAAACTACGAAGTAACATTTTTTCCTATGAATTATGTTCAAGAAAACTTTGGTGCATTTTGTTTTTTACTTAATCCATTATTTTTCAACTAGATAAGCTTTTAATAAAGTCTATAGTTTTAAAATATGTTGCAATAAATATGAGATTATTCAACAGATCTAAACTATTTCAGAGCTGCTATAGTGTCACTACGTAAGAAAAAAGGTATTGATTCTAATCATTCACGAATATTTGAGGTCTTGAATCATCGTGATAAGCATCTCCTTTTATCAAAGGAATATCTAAACCAAAACATAACAAATATAGCTTATAACTCTGCCCCCATCTAATACAACAGTAAAACATTATACTAAACTATCAATTAATAATATATTTTTGGTGGGTTTTTTTTCGAGGATTATTCTATACATATGATATGACTGATATGACCACTTGTCCCTTGCTGTCACTGGGGGAGATCTCTCTGAGTAAGTGGTTGAGCTAGTTCACTGGTGGTTCTATCCTTGGTGATGCTTTAGGAGTGGTCTTAAAAGGAACTCGAGGATCATCAGCAGGTTCACTTTCCACTGGCAAATTCTTCTCTGAAGTTTCCTAGGTAATGTCATATATGACGTTAATGGTATTCCATAGTCTCTCTGCATATTCTTTGTAAGACTCTAATGAGAGACTATCCGCTGGATGTGAATACAGAAGATCCAATAGCGCTTTAAGTTCTCTCCCAAAAGCCAGTGATGATGATGTTTTGCCTGTGACTTCATGTACTTCTGTTTGATAACTCATAAGTAGTAGTTGAAGATCTTGACCCTACTTTATCTGATATTGGTTTAAAAGTGTACAGTTGTATCCCTCCACCATTCCATGAGAAGATGAGTGAAGGGCTGGTGTTCTTATATTTCAAGAGTCTGACACATTTTTGCAAACAAGAGTGATTCAAAGTCCCGTCTCTTATCTGAGTGGAGTTTCATAGGCACCCATATCTTGAAAC